ATTTGATTCTCATTAAAAATCAAATGTGTCTTTTTCCACGTTAAAGGCAAAATATTCCGAACACGGTTCACCTCTAAGAGAAACAACTATTCATTAAGAAACTTCTTTAATTTAAAAAACCAATTATTTATAATTTTTTCTTGGATTTGATATTTAATCCCTTGCAGAAATTTAAGCTGTTTTTGAGGTTGCTTTGACGTGCAAAGGGAGATTTGTAGTTTATTTGAAGTCAATTTTAAAAGCAAGTTTAAAAGATCAACTTGACAAGCTGTATAATCAATGCGTATGGAGTATTTTATTCACACTTGAAGTAGTTGTGAAGTTGATGGAAATCTATATTAGAGCAACCAGCTAAGAGAGTTTGTTGTTGAGGTACATGGTTTATTTTTCTACGCTTCAAGAAAGAAAGTATATTTGAGATGTAAATAATTTCACCCAATCTTAACTAAAATTATTTCAGAGTCATATATGAGGTTGATTTTCTGAGGTGTAAGTAAGGTTGAAATTGAAGTTTATTAAGATTATTTTCGGTGCAAAACATTTTATCATCAATTTGTACCTCAGATGTATTTTTCACAAATGTCAATCTCAAAAACACCTTTTTCGTTTGTAAGGAAAGTACAAATATAATTCTAATAAGCTATTTCAAAAGTTGAGATGAGTTTGTTTTGGTATGAAAAATAGCATTTATAAATGGAAATTATTGTGAAGAAAAGTTCTGTAACTTCAAAACTATTGATCCCATCAACTAAACATTTATTTAATTTAATGCAGTGCAGAAAATTATTTCGGAAAATGCATCTCTCATGTTCAGATAGCTCCTGTATAGAAGAGTAAAATGCTTACAAAGTCATGTCAAAAAAGGCACTTTTTATACTTAACGCTTAAAACTTTTGAACTGTTCGTACAATTGACTCTAGTTTCATTCCCTACTTATTCAATATAAAAAAGAAAGCAAATATAGCAATATAAAAAAGAAAGCAAATATAAAAAAGAAAGCACATTTCACTTGTTCAGACAGCAATATCAGATATCTATACAGGTACAAGTACAAAATTATGTTTCTTGTACTTCTAACTTTTACGCCAATGGGGCCTGGATTAGTGCCATTCAATTTAGCTAAAAAGAAAAAAAACATGAAAGAAAAACACCATCGGGAACAATGCCTCACTTTCCAGTGTAAAGGAAATCCACTTCTCTCCCCTCAAATTACCTAATTTCTATAAGAAAGATGGATATGTACGGAGAAAAGTTGGTGAGTTATCAAGTATAATTTATTTGAAAAAAACATAACAATGTTTTTCGCTAAAAATATCTCGGGTATTATTTTTTTCGAAAAAAAAACTATTGGTTATAATTATTAGACTGATTAGGGATAAAGAGCTGATATCCCTAATTACAAGACTAATTGGGGATAAAGAAACTCAATTTTTTCCCCTCAGATCCCCCCATTTTCTTAAAATAGAAGGAGGTGCATGGATGTGAGTTGGTGAGTTTTCAGATATATTTTATAATAACATAACAATGTTTTTCGCAAAAAATATGTGGAATATTTTTTTTCGAAAAAAAAAACAATTGGTTATAATTACTAGACTAATTAGGGATAAAGAGCTGATATCCCTAATTGCTAGACTAATTAGGGATAAAGAAACTCAATTTTTCCCCCTCAGATCCCCCCATTTTCTTAAAAAAAAGGCGGTGCACGGACGTGAGTTGGTGAGTTTTCAGGTATAATTTGTAATAACATAACAAAGGTTTTTGCAAAAAATATCTCGGGTATTATTTTTTTCAAAAAAAAAACAGTTGGCTATAATTACTAGACTTATTAGGGATAAAGAGCTGGTATCCCTAATTGCTAGACTAAATAGGGCTAAAGAAACTAAATTCTTTCTCCTCAGATTCCCTCATTTCCTTAAGAAAGAAGGAAGTGTACGAGAGAGAGTTGGTGAGATTTCAGGTATAATTTATAATAACATAACAAGGTTTTTGTGAAAAATATCTCGGGTATTATATTTTTCGAAAAAAACAGTTAGTTATAATTACTGGACTAATTAGGGATAAAGAGATGATTAACAAACTTTTATAACTTTTATGAGTTTTATTTTGGTGACAGTCAAGGAAATTAAGGTCTTCCTGTGAGAAAAGAAATTCATAAGATTCATTTTATTAACTAATGGGAATTCATCTACGAAAACAGAGAACTGTTTTATGCTATTATATTTATTAATGGAGAAAAAAATTTCTTCAGGTCATAAAATGTATTTTTACCAATTACCTTACTAATTTTTTAGAAAAAAAAATGCAAAAATTAATATATTTTTTTAATAATTACAAGGAGAAAAAACAAAGCATACCGCACAAGCTTTTAGTGGAAATTTTACTTTTCTTATCAGTAAAAAACTTTTATTTTACCGTTAGTTTACCATGCCGAATTATCTCGGTCAAATGAAAAAAGTTAAATTTTAATCCTTGAATGATAATTTATAAAACAAGGGAAAGCACAAAGTGATAACTTCCAAACATCAGTGAAGTGATAAGCCATTTTTTTTTACTCTTTTTTCTATGCAAATTCAGGAATCATTATACATTCGATTGCACAAAAGACGTCTACAATCTAAGAATTCAAAAGCAAAACTCAAAAGAAAAACTTGGCAAACTTCCAATCACAAAAGATTTTTTTTCTTTGCTTGCGGCAAAGCAAGAACGTGACAAAACAAAACGAACTGACAAATTCTGCTTTGCCCGAGTTTTCTCTGAATAATAAATATTTGTAATAGTATATACATATCAGAGTTAAATCGGAATAATCAGGAAAGCGGTTAAGTTATGATGTAGACTTACACCCTTGTGCAAATTAATTGAAACAAACTCAATAAATTCAGAAAACTAAGAGAAAATGCTATTTTATTTAAATTTATACAAACTCAAAAGTTTTTAGTACATAATATGAGCTCCACGACACTTTATTAACATTTGGACACGATTCGGCATGGATTCCACTAATTTTTTACAGTCATTTATAATATTTGTGTCCTTATACCACACATGAATTAACGCCGTGATTAGCTTCTCCATAGTTGTACAGTCCATATTTAATAGGCGATTCTTGCATATGGCCCAGAGATTCTCAATTGGGTTGATATCCGGAGAGTTCCCTGGCCATTCCAATGTCTCAATTTGATTCTCAGACATGGATTTCTTGACAATTTTGGACGTATGGCAAGGAGCTAAATCCTGTTGAAAAATTCCTGTTCCATCAGGGTATCGTTTCTTCAACTCCGGAACAACTTTTTTACCCAGAATAGTAATGTACTGCTCAGAACGCATCATACCGTCAATAGGCTGCAAAGGTCCAACCCCATTGTAACCGAAATAACCCCAAAACATCTTCTTTAAAAAACATGAAAAAAAAGTTTGTTTCAATTAACTTGCACAAGGGTGTAGATAGCTATATAGAACCCAAAATATTTAAAGTTGGTGACAGATTTTATTTAATACTGATTGATATTTAATTTAAAAATTAGGTTAACAATAATTTTCCTCGCCACGACATTTTTGTGTGAAGATTCTTGTTGTTATGGTGAAAACGTAAAAAAACAGTAACAATGTAAAATTATTAACTGATTAGAAAAATATGGATTGCCCAAATTCTTAGACTTTCTTGCATCGAAAATCTGTTTGAATAAAAAATGTTTTTGATTAGCTCTGAGAAAAAAACATGAAAAAGGTTACTTAACCCCTTGGGGACGGGTGATTCAGAAAAGCATTCGTACAAAATCAGAATCAAGTTGTAATTAAATAAAAAACGGTAACTTAAATGTAGTCTTTTCTAATTTGACAGACTTACTTTGCTTTTACTTTAATTATTGTTAGTTTAATCATATATCTAATCAGTGTTAATTCAAAGTATAATTAAATAGTTTTATTTTGAACAAAGTAATGGTGAATTAAATAAATCAAACAATTATAACTCCGCCCACAAATAAACTGCTAAACAATTACTTTGATCACCAGTTTAATCTATTTACCCTGATTGATACGGTTTTGTGCTGTCACGTATTTGTGACAGTCGGCGCGAAAGGGTTAACAGAAATTATTCTCAATTGGATAATAAAAAAAGTTTTTTTTTTTAAATTGTGTCTAGTAGCCGCATTAAAATGTATTCTATCTTGTTTCATTTTAGATAAATGTAAAGTTGAATCATTCAGGCAGAATTGTATACTGCGTACGGCTACATGTGAACTGGGCGAATGTCAATGTCCACCTATGCTAAGTTTTGGAATAGATGGTAGATGCTCTGAAATCGGTAAGACAAAAAAAAAAAAAAATCTATTTCTCGTGTTCCTCTGGAATTTTTAATTAGTAGAGCAATTTAAGAGCATAATAGTTAAACCCGGTTAGTGACATTTTCTGCGTGGTTCTATTCTGAAGATTTGAACTATTTTATTGTGTATTTATTAGAGACGTGGAGGCTCAAGGGATAGAGAGCATTCGCCTTTCAATAAGGGGAACCGGGTGCGAATCCAGCGATGGCTGGTCCGGCTCGAAACGACAACAGTGGTGATGTAAAATATCTTTGGTGGTAGATGGATCATGAGTTAAAGTCCCCTTGCCGTTAAGCTAACAGCGGGAAGATTTTGTGGTTTACCTCTACATGTAACGCAAATTTGGGTTTGTTTGATAAAAAAGTCCTCCAAGGCAAATTTATGCGAATTTGATCAAGGAGTTCGATTGTCTTCTGAATTGGGTACAAAATTACAATGCTAAGAAGTTCAACATTAGTACTCGAAAATCTAAAATTGGGTCGGCTGTTTAACGATGGTAATAAAATAAAATAAAATATATATTTATTAGAAGTTGAGACAAAACATTTCATTTATTTACCATTACCTAATTTGAAATAAAAATAATTTTTTGGATATGCCTATTTTATGAAAAAAGTATTGAAAAAAAAAATACAAGAATCTCATTTTTTACATTACCAGCGGGTGACCGAGCACCGCTCGGAGAAAACAGGTATCGAAGCTAACTCGAAGATTTAAATTTTCAATTGTGATTTATCAAAACAATACATGACATAAGAAAATTTGTGAAACCATTGGTGAAAAGATAACTGGTTAAAGTGCACCATTGTAAACTATGCATCGGGTTCTATGCACTATCGATGGGCAGCGGGTTGTCGACTGGATCGCAGACTAATAGTTGACGTTCTCCATAGCTTGCTTCGTAAATTCCTAGCATCCTGTGCTCGCCTCTATCCATTTGAGCTCTCTTGTGAATGGGAATGAGTAGCACGTCGAATCCTTGTTGAACGCCGTATAGATAGTTGGAAGCCTTGTTCTGGTCGCTGATATCGTTGAGAAGAGCCATTCCTTCATAAGCGCCATCCGCTGTTGTAACGTAGAAGCGTGCGACAAATTCAGGGTGAAGTACGGCAACTTTGACGGTCGGGTAAGCTTGTTCGGCATAATGGAGAAGCATTCTGACAGTGACGGTATATTCCAGTTGTCCATTTGCGGGTAGAATTGAGTTGATCGCTTGTTGTTCCAAAATTCCGGCTCCTTGAAGAATTTCATGTAGAGGTGCGTTCTGCATGTTGAAAATGTAGCTTGAAATCTGATGAATGTTGAAATGTCGGACTTTGTTGACGGTGATTTTAACACAAAAGTTAAACTTTTCTCCACTTTGATAAATGTAAACTAATGCGAACCTTACAATTAAATTATTAATTCCTTCGTATATTATTGGTTTAAGTTGTCGAAAATTAATAATTTAATTGTAAGGTTCGCATTAGCATACATTTATAAGAGTGGAGAAAAGTATCTATAGCCATTATGGCGAACTAATAAAGTTTGAAAATATCCTATCTGTAACTCCGAACTGCTCGACCGTAGCGCTTCAAAACCGGCGCCAATCGATTCCTCGCGGCCAAAAACCCCAGACCCCCAAGTTTACCGGAGTTTATTAATTCTGGGGCGATTTTCGACTTGGCAACCATTCCTCGTATTATAGTATAAGATTCCCGCTTTTGAATATTTAACCAGAAAAATGTTCTATGGGGGGAAAAAATAATCGATCTTCTTTGATGAATGCCAGGAAGTTCCAATATCAATAAAAACACGTCTTTGATTTATTAGTGACGTGGGGGATCTTGCCTGCTGTGAAGCAAATGACCAAAGAGAGCCCCCAAACAAAATGGTGAGTTCATATGCGATTAAAAAACTAAGGACGTTAACTGTGATAAATTTTCCACTGCTTGGGTCGTTAAAGAGTTAATAAAATATTATTAATTCAATTAGAGTAAACACTTTCCGTTGAGAAATATTAAACTTTTAAAGAATCATTGACATTTTCGACTTTTTGTAAATGCCACATAATTATTCCACTTGAGTTTCATTATATCTTTTTATTATGGATTAAAGGCGCAATTTTCGTAAATAAAGTTACTATTTTATGTACCATTTGAAACGTGCATCATTACCATTATGCATCATTATGCATTTTATTACCATTTTTACACCATTTTATAAAAATATTTTTTAATGCATGAATTTTTTTTTATATCTTAATGAAATTTAAGCATAATTCACTCAAAATAATCCTACCCTTTATAAAATTTCTATGCTTATTCTAAAATGGGTTTCTGAATTAAATTTGTATATTTCAAGCTGATAACGATAGCATTCATCTTGACATTCAAGAAATAGTTTCTTTTTAGATTTCTTTTTCCCTGTTTGATATATTTTTATCATTTAGTTTATTAATTTCTGTTATCGAATGTTTAATAGCATAACATTTAAATATCATAAAAGTTATTAAGTATGATTTCTTTAAATTTTCTTATTCAGCGCAAGCATGTTACTTTTTTTTATTTAATGTCTTTTTGAGATTTGACTTTCTAATTTGTGTTATCAACTGTTTAATGATATGAAATTAAAAATTTCGTAATAGTTATGAATTTGATTCCTCTTAATTTTCTTATTTAGCTCAAGCATCTTATTTAGGATATTTGCCCATATCGAAGCAATTTTACGCTGCCCCATCAACAGAGTTTTCTCAGAATTCTGATGAAAAGGAAATTATAAACTACAGTTCTCTTCAAAAGGATGTAAGAGATGCAGTAAGTGAAATAATGTCATTAGTATAATTGAAAGTAATTTAACTAGTTTATTTTAATATATTATTAATAAATGTTATGCATTTCGAATAAAAAATTTTAATGTTGTTTTCTCGTAAGCATCAAAAATCATTCCTTAGATGAAGCCAACCCAATTTTGAGTTTCAGTATTCATCAATAAACACCTATCAATAATCGACTATCAATATTAAACACCGTAATCTTGCAATTTTAAACCCAATCCAGGAGACAAGGTAACTCCTGGATTAAGTATTAGGACAAACTATCCTTCGTGGAGGACATTTTGATGAAACTAACCAGTATTCGTGTTACACGGGGAGGAAAACCACGGAAACCCCCTAGGTTAGCCCAATGGCTAGGAGATTCTAACCCATTATTCGTTTACCACTAAGGATATTTCAGATAAGCACTGCGGTGGGTGCGAGCCAAGCCAATGGCAAAACTCATATCAACCAGCCATCGTTGGGATTCGAAACTGGGTCATATCATTGAGTGGCTAGCACTTTGTCTTCTGAGTCATAGTGATTTCAGACTAAGGATTGAGAGTTCTAAGTATTAAAAATTTAATTCTCGCATTCAAGCCCTATGGTATGAATAGGAATTAATTTTGTTAAAATATTAACATAGCTGACATATTTTCAAGTAGTAAACTGAGAAATTTTCTTATTAATAAAATTTTCTACTTTTTAATAAACAAATTTAAAGTTTTATTGTTTATAAATTTCTTTTACCCAACAAAATAAATTACTAAATTACGTACTTGGTTGGCAGGTATGCATATATTAAGTTATTGGTTTGTTTCGTTTTCAATTTCAACACACAATCAGAGTGGCTCTTCTTACTTTATTAGATTACTGCCACTTTCTAAAATCATTTTAAATTGTCATAAGTATTATCACTTTTGTAATAATGATGTGCTCCCCCTACTGAATATAATTACACAGTCAGTACCTCAATCATCCACATAAATACTGCTTTACTTCATTTGCATTCCACAACCTCATCGAAACACCACGAAGATGTAGCTCAAGATGAATGGGAAAAGAGCAGCAAGTGGCCTCATGTGTCCAGATATTTAATACAGTTTCAGTTTCAATTATGATGTGCAATATTTTTTTCTAACATACAATTAATACATAAATATTTATCAACACATTATACATAAATTTACATAATAATTTTCCTGAAATAATTCGTGCTTACATATTTGCATTTCGGAAAAGGTTTTTATCGCTTGAACACTTCTTTTAGGCAAATGATTTCGGCGTCAAACTTGACAATTTTATAGTCGTGTAAACGTTAATGTAATTATTACCTTCCATGTTATTACCAATGAGGGCAAGTGGTCATTTTTATTGAGGTAGGTAGTTTCTATGAATAAGACGATGGTTATTTTAATTTTCAATAAAATATCGCCATCATACAGGCAATAAAAATGTTTAAATGTCAATGCTTTTATGTATTGATAAGACCCCGTGCTACTTGGGAGTGAGATTAAAAGTACATCATTTGATTGAACGATTTTAATATTTCGTTATTTTTAGTGAGTGTTTATCGATCTAAAGAAAATAATCATATTATGATTTAATTTAAATTTAATTAGTCATGCTATGTTTTTAAAATCAGATACAATGACATTTTTATACAACTCTCAAAATGTTAGCGGCATAGTGTTTTTATGATGGTCACAAGTTTATTCATAGCATCTCAGTCTGGCTCATTGAAGGAATTCAATTCTCTTAGATCTAAATAACTGCAAATTTGGGAAAAAAAATATGGTTTGGAAGGGAGCAGTCATTGTAAGATTTTACCTTTTACGCTGAAAATGACACCAGTGTTTGATGCTGTATTCAAAAATCATAAAAGACGGTCAGTCAAATTTCTTGTATCAATTTTTCTAATACAAGAAATTTGACTGACCGTCTTTTATTTCACAGTCAAGATGAAGATTTTTAAACTTCATAGACTATACTAAACACCCAGTTGTGAGTTTCTGTCTGCAACTGCAAAGTGATAGAGTTGTTCTTACGAAGGCACCAGCCAATTGGCTCCTTTTTAACCTTTATATTCTCAAATAAGCTGAAATCCGTATGTTATAACCGATAAATTAGGATTTTTTTTCAAACGTTTTTCTCGGTAAAATTGGAGTTTGGAGCTATAAGTTGTAACTTATAATGTAATGCATGATGTGTTATCACGGTTGATAATTATGGAATATAAATTAAGTAATAAAACTAATTTGATATTAAAAATAAGCTTTGATATTTTAAGTACGTATATTATTAAATAGCCATTCGTATAATACAATCAGTAAAATATTTTAGTGATCGGACGTAGTAAGGTTCGCGAGCAATAATAAAAGTATCTATATAATTATTTTCTAAATGATTCTACATAGTAGAATTATATTTTCATTAACTCAACAATTAACAATTCGATGACAATTTATATATTGTTTTTTTTTTCAGATGGTAACTCTACTCGGGAAAAATTATCAGTCCTCTTACATCTTAAGTTGTGAGTGAGTATCATAGAGCTTCGTTTAAAATGTGATAAATTTAGTGTAAAAAGCGGAAATATTTTTTTTTAAATACAATTAACAATTAGTAAAAAAAAAATTCAAAGCGAAATCTCATTGATTCGTTGCTGAGGTACTCACAAGTGTTTTCAAGGACTCACAAGGTGTTGTGTACATTGATTTTCTTCACAAACAATTTTGAAATTATTATTGTCAAATTATTAGTGTGTATATTAGAAACTTATTATTGTGATATCTTAGCGAAAGACAAGCCAGTCCATCGGTCTATGAATCGGTCCAAGAATAGTAATCGGTCCAAGTGGCATACCCATCAGCAAAGTGTTGCAACAAGCAATGGGACACCTCATAAAGCCGCAGTAACGCAACAAAAGTTGCTTATGAACTTTTGTATACTTTTATCGTTATGTAGTGGTGTGGAAAAACAAGTTAAATAACACATAGAAACATAAACTTAGCTTCCACTAGAATAAATTTTTACAAAAAGGGTGGAAAGTTGGCCTTACGTAGGGAAACAGTTGATCATACTCCATATAGCCTGAACTTGGCACATTTGGACTACCATTTATTTGGACCCCTTCAAAAGCACTTGGAGTGTAGACAGATTTTCATCAAAATGGAGATTTTGCGTGCAATTCGTTGACTGCACAGCCAACTTGTTTTTATGCTACCGAGATTAAGAAACTTTCAAAAGGTTGGAAAAAGTGCGTTGAAGTTTACGGAAAATATGTAAAGAAATAATATTTTTGAAAGAACTGTTGTAGTGCTTAGTTATTAGAAGTCTTATTTATATTTGATCAACCCTGGCAATAAAACTTTTCCTGCAATGATAATATTACTACTCAAATTGGCACCGTTGGATAAATGCTATTTTTATACCCTGTTTCAAAAAGTAACCGTCTGCGATTCTGTTTCTTTTTTTCAAAAAAAAAAAAAAAAACTAGACCTGCAATGAAAAACCTGTAGATACATCGCCAGCTTTATTAAATCAGTAATATAGTCAATACCTTATGTATCCCGCCTAAAATATAAGGGTGCTATTAACTGGGCAACAGGCTTTTGACTAAGCTGAATATGTGTTCCCTGTGTTACAAATATTTATTAGAACGCAATCTTCTACAGAAGTTAAACACTAAATACATTATTTCTTTTTTTAGAATGAAAACTTTGTCCTATAATTGCTTGATAGAAGTACAGTTAAATACAGATCCACTAGACCAAATCAATATCCTAACAGATCAATCCTCATGTGTTGGTGGAACAAATAACATATGCTTAATGCCTCCTCATTTAATTTTGGATAAGAGTGAAGCCACTGAAAGTAAGGAAATGCTGCGCTATTACTGATACCTAAAATATATTGTATATGAATATAACAGGCAAACATATTACCCTTTTATATTAGTTGCAATTGTGTGTATATATATATGTAATGTTATGCCTTTAAAGGCTAGACAATTGAAGAGACTTAGGCGGCTTCTGATAAAAAGTCATTTTATTACGTTATATGTGGTATGGAAAACAGTGTTCGTGGGATATTTACATTGATGGTTTCCCCATTTCAGGGATTGTTTGGAATTGGCCCAGATTTATCTAGCCATGGAAGACACGCAATTTTGGCTGTCCCGAGATTTTAAATTGAGGCTCCGAATGGGAGTGGTTGCAAGGATCTTCTTATCGTACTGAAACGTCATTCAATTGATAAAATTTAAAGATTTTGATTCGCTAAAAGGATATCACCACTCTGACGGTGGGAAATTTTTGGGATTATCTTAATGACTACTTTATCTACGAATTATTGCCCATTAACTTCAGAAAATAATCTTTTATCTGGCCTTATCTGGTTCATCTTGACTTTTTATGGCTCTTTGTGAGAGACCGACTTCTACATCTTAAACTTGATAAGAAACATATGTTTTAAGCTTACCAGTTAATATAGAATGACTCGTATGAGAAATTCTATATTACATACCCCCTCTCCAAAAAAATTTTATTTCATTATTAAATTTAGAAAAATTATGGTTAATTACTTGCAACCCCTTCCATCAGAATTTTCAATTCAATTATAACAAAACACACACTAATTGATCAAATAAAAATCCTTCAAGCACAACAAAAATAACAAATGTAAAGTAAAAGCTGTGTACAAGAAAACATGCATAGCTATTAAGTATAACATTATGTAATGTTTACATCAAATTATCTTCTATAGGTAATGTATCAAAATTTATGCACACATAAACATATAGCAAAAACATAAACA